ACTAAAGACGAAAAAAAAAGTAACGCTGATCCTTTTTTGTTGTCATTCTTTCGTTCTCTTAATTATGTGTAAAAGTGATTAATAGCTTCAAACATACAAAAACAATCAAATAAAATTACTCTTCTTTGAATAATATCTTCTTTTGTTTTTTTATTTTGTTTTTTTTCGAAAAAGCAAAACATCAGAAAAACAAAACTCTTACTTTTTCAATATATCAAATATTTAATTATCTAAAAATAAAATATTCATTAAAGAAATCAACAATTCATAACACATAGTTTATAAATATTATCCATCTTTTTTAGTTAATAATGATATTCACAATGTATGTATGTATGTATGTAAACGAACAAACAAATAATATTTTTTTTTAACACCAATGATGCTATTCAATAGATGGCAGTGAAAGAATAAATAGTGATTATTGGCGACATCATTGTGTCAAAATATGTTTTCGTTTCAAAATGCGTTATTTTATCTTTCAAGGTGAAAACAAATTTTTAAATAGTTTATCACTCGATTCAAATTGTCGTTGTTCGTTTCGTTTCTCTTATTTTGTCAATTATATCAGTGAATCGATCATTATTATAAATGATATATAATGATCCGATTAGGAAAAGATCATTAAATTCATTTTGTTTTTTGTATTAAAGAAGTAAAGCTATGTTTCATATACAGATTTATCAGGATCAGGTTTTTTTAATCTTATTCGTAATATTGACTTAAAACAAAAAGAGTACTATTTCATAACAGAAGAGCTTCTTTTTTATTTGAAAAATTGTTATTGTCAATAAACAGATGAATATTCACGAAAAACATGTTAATTTAATTCGTTTTTAATGTTTGATTCTACATTATAAAATTTAACATATATGAAATCACAAAAGATAAATGATTGAACTTCATACTAAGCGAATTAAAACTGTCGAGAGTAACTCAGATCTAAAAAAATTTTCATTCGACTTACTTTAAATGGAAAAGTTGACGAACTTGATTAAATACGTTCATGATAAAGATTCAAAGTCATTTTCGATAATCTATACAGTACGACAATAATCATTATAAAGTTTTAGATCATTTCTATTCAACCTATTTCTTTTAAAGCGGAAAGATTAAGTTTAAATTCATCGACAATAAATTATAACCGATTATGTGTAAGAAACAAATGAACGACAAGATTATGTCATCGTATTCGTTATTTCGCAACTTCTCTATAACAAATCCGGATTACTGATAAGCTTTTTCTACGAAAAACAAGCGTACAAAAAAGTTGATAACCAATTTAAGTTTTTGCCGTGATCAGTCATTTCAATAGGTTTAAATTACAAAAAGAACTAAGTCCTACATAAATAACTTGATAAGCGTCATCTACTAATAATCACATTTTTCTAAACTTATTAAGACGATATATATCAGCTAAAAGTCATCAAGTGCTTTTACTTCATATTAATGTCAAGAAAATTCTCATCTATATTGTTCATTATTGAAGTGAAGAGCAAAACACCCATCAATTATCGTAAGCCTATTGTGCATCTAGCAGCTTTCTGCAGCAACTTTTTTCCGTCCCGTTTCCCATAGGAATCGGGAACGGAAATTTCCTTGAAGACTTCAAGAAAGGGAACAATATTAAAAAAGAGGCGTTTCCGAAAATAGTTTTATTTTTGTATATAATCTCCTAATTTTCTCATTTGTGCTGAAAGAATACTGAAATTAGTCTGATATTCCATTGTTAAGAAATAGATTTCGTCATTCTTCCAGAAACATTTGTACTGTCTAGTAGTTAAAAGAAAAATAATAAATTCTTGTAAATCAGAATTAAATAAGCACATTCATTATTCATTAAGGACTCTCCTAAAAACCGATTTCGCGCCAGATATATTCAAATCATCTGAAATCTGAGAATGTATGACAGCTGTAGTAGAGAGACTATAATAAAATATTCAGCTCTATACGATGATCTTTGACAGAAATATCCATCAAACAAGAATAAAAATAGCTCATTTAGCAAATCAAATTTCTCTGTTCAGAATCATTCTATATATTTGATTTGTTTTTGTTTTTGTTGAAAAAGCATGTCAGAATGCAGTACAGTATACAGCCTTTTTCTTTTCAATTGTTACTTCTTTATTGGAGAAAAGGGATCATAATTTCAATGAGTCAAAAAACTATGAAAATAGGTATTTTGTAAAAATAACGCTTAATTATAAAAAAAAAGGAATCTGTACTACACTACATCTTGAGATGCTCTTTCAAACAGACAAAAAATTAGATCTGTAGAATAATGGTTCATAGAGAAATCTGGGGCACAAATAAAAAAAACATAAACAAAAAAAAATTACGAAAAATGTTTCCGACTTTTCAAAAGAAAAATGCTATTTTCAGGCATAAAATGGGTTATAATCATGAAAACTTTTGACGCCAAGCAAAAAATCATATTATTTCTGAAAGATCAGAACTCACGCGATCTTCCCATGTATTTATCTTAATTTTTAGTTTTTTGACGAAAACTAATTTTTTTTTGTGAGGGAAAAGATCTTAAAGTGTAATTCAATTATCAAAACTATTATTTTCTGTGTGATTATCATCTTTGAAATCATTACTTTTCGGATAATATCGTATATTCTTCTCTTTTCAATTGATGAAGGTTATAATTCTCTTAATGTTGATAAATTTCGATGTATAAATAAGAATTAGTTTATTTTATTAAAATGCATCTTCAGTGATAGTTCTATTTCTAATTCAAGGCTATCGCACATTGCATAATATGCGACGTTGATAGAAGCTAGTATCTGGCAATGATTTTTCTTTTCTCAAACATGGAAAATGAAATTGTAATAGAAATTCCACAAGCGTTTCAGGTGCAAGCAATAGAATTGGAGAAAAGTCGTTCTCACAGGTTGTTGTGTATGTTTAAGTCTGTAGGTCTCAGACAGTCTATCGCTTAGCAGGAAACATGAAGAATCAATGATTTACCTTTTACTGAGTAGTGAAGTATCGAAGCAGAACGCTATCTAAATCTTATTAAAATCTTCGATAATGTATAATTTTGTTAAAAATTAAACTTTTTTCATCATATCTTGCTTAAGATTTATAAGTTGGAAAATGATAATTTTTCAAGTAGATGGAATAATCTTTTTTTTATATTATTCAGTTACATAGATTGATATACATATAATATAGTATTACGAATATAATCTATTTGCAGAATGGTTGTTAAAAATCTCTTGGTTACAGATGTGAGAGTAGTAGTTTTCATAGAGTCATCTTGTTTTGGATATAAGCTCATAGAATAACACGATCTTCATTCTAAAGATTTATTTAGAACTAATAACCAGTCAAAAAAGCATTTCAGACTATCTTTATAATGCTTCTTACCGATAAAAACTAAAAATCTTCAGTTTATGTAATGGCTTCTTAGAGAAAACTTAACAATATAAATGAATAATTTCGTATCAGTAGCATAATCAATGATTCCATAATAAAAAAAAAAGAAAATGAAGACTAATGATACCGATACGCTTCAACAAAATGAAAGTTCTGATTTCATTCTAAAAATAACCGTCTTTACAAGTTTCTAACCATAAATTATTCTCTAAAATGACACATTATTCAAAAAATAATTTATGATAAATAGTTTTTCGGTTTTATATAAATAAAATAACAGCAGAACTATGAATCAAATTAACTCTAAATTCAATTCTCATGTCATTCACGATGAATGGATTATTAATGATCTATTCAGCATTTCCACAGTGAAATTATTTCGCCTGTATTCAACCATATCAGTGCCTTAATCAGCATCTATTTAAGCCATTTTTTTTAATTGATTGACTCAATCCCAACTCTACTGTATAATGCCAGAAGTATGAAAGGATTAATACAGAGTGTTTTGTGTAGGATCTGTTAAAATATTCAGAAACATGGATCAAAATGAATGAACATTAAGAATATTTTGTACTGAACAACGGGGTCTAGATTCAAAAAGTCAATCATTCGATTCCTAATGAGTTACAACCTATTGATAAGTTATACTTCAATTTACAAGGTGTCCAAGCGAGCAAACACCTACGTATATATGTTCACACAAGCAAATATCCATTATTTGAATGTATACTTAATGATAACATGAATATATTTAGTTATTTTACTTAATTTCATCAATAACCATTAGAATGATAATTACTATTCATCATCATTTCTTTTCTCTCATTTATATTTCTTAATTTGAATTACAAAAAAGATCAAATATGAAACATATTCATTTGTTCAAATCAATCACTAAACTATCATCATTCAATCATCAATAAAGCTTTTGATTCTTTTTTTTTCTTTTTTTTTTTTTTATTAAGGTGTGTATATATATGTGTATATAGAAAATGAGCAAAAAAAAAAGAAAGAGAAGAGATCTTGATTGATTAATTAATGAGAATGTGCGAGTGTGGTGAACAATAAATGAAATAATGCACGCATTCTGCCTAGAACAATTATTTTCACACAACACGAACAAAAAAGCATGAATTTTTTTTTTCTGTTTTTTTTTCTTTGTTTTTTTTTTTGTCTAGTAAACAACCAACAAACACGCGTAAAGAGAAAAAGAAATGTATGGATCAAGATACAAAAAAAAAAAGAAGAAAAAAACGAAATGAAAGAAAGCGAGCCTAGCTCTAAAAAGAACATCAAAATTGTTCCATCATCATTGTTATGTATATTAAAACAGAGACAATATTTTATGTAATTCTATTAAAGCATAATAATAAGTAGAAGAGTAAGCAAGAAGAAGAAAACACAAGCGCGAGATCAAGATTGATGTCAAAAGTTTTAGAAATAAACTTTGATTGATATAGGCTATGTATGTTTTTTTTTTTTGTATGTTTTGTTTTATTTATTATTCTCACAGACGATGATTATATAATAATGACTATTGAAGATTAAATAATAAGAAGCAAAGTGAAAAAAGAAATGAATGAAATGTATCCTCTGTCTCTTATTAATCATTTATTTTATTTGTCACCGTCGTCATTCTTGTGTGATTCCATTATTTCATTTGATGTTTCATCAACTGTTTGAGGATGTTCTTCATTGACTGTTGCACTAGCTTCATTACCATCACCGCCACCACCTGTTGTCATTATTTCATGAACATTACTGTCAGGTTTTGGTTTAGATTTTTCTTTAGAATCAGGTTTTTTATTGTCACCCTTTGCAAACAAAACACAATGAAAAAATAAATAAAATCTTCTTTTTTTTTTCATATAAACTAAATGCATACTTTAGCTGTACTACCACCACCTGGTTTATGATGAGCATTATCCAATGAGCCTACTTTCGATTTTGCATTCCATTGTGGTTTTTGATTTTGAGCCTATGAAAATTCGAAAATTCTCATGTCATTATCAAGTCAAATACACAAAGGAATTCGATTGTTCTTATTTTTTTAACGAAATCTATATGAATTCTTTAGAGAATCTTTGATTAATTACCTTAGTAGTACCACTTGCTGGTTTGTGTGTTGTAGGTTGAGCGGAACTTGCTTTAGATGTTGCTGAATTCCATTGGGGTTTAGCACTAGCAACCTGAAATGAATGTGTATGTATATAGAATTTAATATTGATAATTAATTTAGAGAAAAAGAGAAAGATATGAATTGGGAATATGTGTACGGCTCATTAGAGAGGAGAAAAAGAATGAAAGTAAAACTATCACTAAAATAGAAAAAAAAAACATATCAATATGTTAGTAGAGTTAAAAAATCTACCAAACGTTCAGATGTTGATGATTGAATTGGTGGAAGAATCTAAATGAGAATGTAAATGAATGAAATAATTAAATTTAAGAGTTCCCTCGTTAAGAAAAAACGGTCTTGACTCCAGTGCATTTAAATCGTATGCAACTTTCAGCTCTGTACTATAATGTTTATAGACAATATTCAACAAACAAGGCTCAAAACTTGCTTATTTGTTTTCTGTGTCCCTCATTCTATATATTTTCTGTAAAGATCATGCCAGACTGTAACACCTAGCAAAACTTTTTTTAAAAATTTGCACTTCCTATGGGAAAAAAATCTAACAAAAAAAAGGGCTCTATTGTTTCATATACTCTTTCAAACAATAAAACAAAAGGAATGGACTACAATGAAACTTCTACGAGAATTCTGAGATATGGAATTTCAATTATTGAATTTTGTTGAGATGAAAGTCTTAAATAAAAATATATACTTGATAATTAGATAAAATATAAGAATCATTTTGAATAGATGTTCTTCTTAATGGATGAAGTTGTTTCTAATAGATAAATTGACGGAATAGAATGAAAAAAAAAAAAAAGAATTTCAATTGAAAATACTCGTGGTCGATATGACCAATTCCAACAATCAACGTGTGAAACAGGTTGAAACTTAAATAGAAAATATTTAAATTGAAAATTAAAGGAAAATAAATCAAAAGTAGGAAGTCATACATGTATTCGATGTTTAATTTCTGGTTTTTGTTCATTATTTATTTCATTTATTGGACTAGAACTATATGATGTTTCTTCACGAATTATTGATGGTTCTGGTGTCTGAATAAATTAGAAAAGTTTTGCTATTCAGTTTTCTCAAATAAATCTATATAATATTTACTTTGAGAAATTTTCGTGTTGAACGTTGATATGATTTAGTATTATCTTGCCAAGTATCAATTGTTGATTTTGGATCAATAAAAGATAAGTTCTAAATAAAGTACAAACCAAATTCAACTTGTATTATCATTAGTAGAGATCGTACATAAACACTATGAATCATGTTTATGATCGCAATATCAAAAAACATTTCTCACAGTAACTTAAGTTTGATTATGATAAACTTTTCATGAGTGATTAGTTTTAGATTCAAATGATTTCTACCTGCCTTCTTATCCTAATTCACAGGCGTTTATTGTTAACGATACTTCTTTTATTGTTTCACATAATTCGAAAATTCGATGAATAGATTTTTAGTTTTCGGGAAACATTATTCGATTTTTTTTGTTTCATTCAATTTAAATATTTTATTATTTTATTTTCATTTTGCTCACTATCGGTGTGAGTACTTGTTTTATAACAGATCCTACTAGAACAATCAATAGAATTTTAATTACTAACAGTTATCGTGCTTACAATTGTGACCTCAATAAAAACAAAAAAGTACTTATGGCAATCTCTAGTACTTAAAAGTCTTAATATAATTCTCTCGTAAACACTTGTTATAGAAATATATTAATGTTTACGAAGATGTCATGCAATATGTTCTTGGTGCCTTGAAAACCCTCGAGAAATAAGACGTAAATTTCATGATTTTGTTGAAGAGTTTCTTAAACGATTTCATTGCTTATTAAATAGATGATATCCTGAAGAGTTTTCAATAGCTTTGAAGAACTCTTTGTAAAATCGAACAGATGATTACCTGTTGTTCTGTCAACAATGAACGTGATCTTGACGAATTAATCTTGAAGAAAAAAGGTCCTTTAAATTATAAATAAAAATAAAAATATTGTTTTTCTTTACATGTTCATTCCAATTATCAATCGTTGATTTAACATGATCAAAATGAATCGTTGAAGGTTTTTCATTAATGTTAGTTGTTGATACATTTCGTTGTTTGATATCATCTGACCATGTATCAATATGTGAATGTGAATCAACATGTATTGGTCGTGTATTTATTTGTTCATTTCGTTTAATAGGTTTTCTTGAAATATCATTCCAATTATCTATTTTTGATTTTCCAATAATATTTGTTCGTTGATGTAAATCAATATCTTTCACCTTCGTTTTCAATGGTTTCTTAAAAAGAAAAATTTTTTATGTTAAAGAAAAAGAAATCAAAAGGATTTAATTTACATTTAAACTCCAAGTTTGAATAGTCGATTTTGGATCAATAAATATAGTTTGCTGTTGTTGTCCTAAATTCTCAATTGGACTTAATGATCGATATCGTTTTATTGTTTGATGATTATTCCATGGATGAATTGTTGATTTAGCTTCAATATGAATTCGATGAGATTCTTGAAAGAGATTTTCTTTTTCATGTTGATTTTCAGGTAATAATTCTTGAGATTGAAATGTATCTATTTTTGAATGAGCTTCAACATGAATTGGTTGATGTAGAATCTATAAATAAAGATTAAGAAAAAAATTTTATTTTATCAAAATTCATTTACTTCAATTGTATTTTTTGATCTCTCATATTGATCATTCCAAGTATTTATTGTTGGTTTTATATGTGATAGATCAATTGATCTATTTAATAATGATTTTGATTGATGTAGAGAAGTATTCTAAAAAAATAAAACATAAATTAAATAAAAAAAAAAACAACGGTTACATAACATACTATTGTTGATGGTTCAAGCCATGTATCAATTTTTGATCGAGTATCAACATGAATAAATTGTTTTCTTTTTTGAGATATTTTATTTCGTTGTAGAATTCTATTATTATTCCATGTATCAACTTTTGTATGTGCTTGAACATGTATTGGTTTATGAGTAAGCTTTAAAAAACAAAAGAAAATCATTTTAGATATATATGTATATAATAGATATACTTTGAATGTTGCTGATGAAACAGATTCTTTGCTTGGAATTGATTGCCAAGTATCAAGATGTGAATGAGAGAAGACATGTAATGGTTGATGTCTTTTCTAAAATACAATTTATGAATAAAAAAATTTGTTTTTCATTTTTGAATAAGAATATTACAATAGGAGCACTCGATTGACGTATAGATTCTTTTATTTGTTGCCAAGAATCGATTTGAGATCGGGCAGCTATATTTATGGGATGATTGAATGGCTTTTTCTATCAGATGTAAAGGACATTCATTTAAAAAAAATAACATTTTCTTTCTACTCACTTTTTTAACAATTCGGCCTTGTCGTACAGTTGACCAAGTATCAATTTTACTTTGTCCATTTATATAAATAGGATTATTAATCTAAACAAAAATTATTTAGTTCAAAACAATGAAAATTATTTGAATCCAACCATTCGATGAACATGATTAGTTTCCGATCGATTTGTTGATGACCATGTATCAATTTTTGATCGAGCTTGAACATGTATTGGTTGATGAATAGGTTTCGAAATTGATGAAATAGGTTTTTCTGTTTCATTACGCCATGTATCAATACGAGAATGTGCATCAACTTGAATTGGATAATTAATTAATGTCTTCAGAGGAGAAACAGATAAGTTTATTTAATGAAAAAAAAACACAAACATTTGTTATACAATACTTTTGAATTTCTATTAATCTGTTTTGTTGTTTGTTGCCAAGTATCAATCTGAGGACGACTATTGATATATAATGGTTTATGCATAATCTATTTGAAAAATAAATATTGAACATCAAGAAAAATAAATAAATAAATAATTTACCTTGGCTATACTTTGTCGAGTTTTATTACTTGTTGATAACCATGTATCAACTCGTGATTGTGGTTTAATATAAAATTGTTCATGAATAATTGGAGCACTTTTTGATCGTTGAGATATATTTATACTTGTTTGCCAATTATCAATTATTGAATGAGCATGAATATGAAGTGGTTGATGAAACAGCTTCGAGTGATTATCAGATATTAATTTAGAAGCATTCCAACTATCAAGACGACTTCGACCCAGAATATGAAATGGTTTATTAACCTAAAAAATAAACAATAAATTTAAGATTAATATTTATGAATGATGTTACACAATTCATACAGGTGATAAACTACGACGTCGTTTTTGATACAAGGATTTATTTTGCCATGTATCTAAATGACTTTTGCCTTGTACTTGAATAGGATGGTGAATCAAATGATTTCTTATGGAGTGAGACCGATTTTCTAATGTTTGCCAATTATCTATTCGACTTTGTCCAATAATATGAATAGGTTTATGAATCTAAACAAAATAAAGTACTCTAAACTTCTTTTTTTCGAAAAAAAAAGAAATGTTTTACCTCAGTAGCACTATGAGCTCGACGACGATATGTTGATGTTTGCCAGCTATCAATTTTACTTTTAGCTTGCACTTGAATCGGGCGATGTAATAGACCAATCTTTGTAGTTTGCGGTTCTCTTTTGGAAGTTTGCCAAGTATCAACTCGACTCTGTCCAATAATATGAATCGGCTTATGAGTCTAAAAATATTAAAAAAAATATCGAAATCTCTTTTTTTTTGACAAACAAAAGTTGTTTACCTCCGTAACACTACGAGATCGACGAGGGTGTGTTGATGTTTGCCAGCTATCAATTCGACTTTTAGCGTGAACTTGAATCGGACGATGAATAAATAGATTTTTACTAGAGTGTAAAACTGTATCAGATGTACGCCATGTATCTACACGACTCTGTCCAATAATATGAACAGGTTTATCAATCTATAAACAATATAAACTAATATACGTATATAAGAAAATTTAAGATGTATACCTCAGTGGCACTATGAGATCGTCGACGTGATGTGTTTCCTTGCCATGTATCTATTCGACTTTTAGCTTCTACTTGAATAGGACGATGCACCAACTGATGTTTAGAAGAACGTGGTATTTTTTCGGTTGTTTGCCAAGTATCAATTCGACTTTGACCGACAACATGAATGGGTTTATGAATCTATACACAATACAAATCAATTATGGTTTTTAAAAGAATAAAGTTTTTACTTCAGTAGCACTATGAGCTCGTCGACGTGATGACTGAGTTTGCCATGTGTCTATTCGACTTTTAGCTTGAACTTGAATCGGACGATGAATAAATAGATTTTTACTAGGGTTCGAAATTTTATTAGATGTACGCCAAGTATCCACACGACTCTGTCCAATAATATGAACTGGTTTATGAATCTATAAACAATATAAAGCCATTATATTCATACAAAAAAATTAAAGATTCATACTTCAGTAGGCTCATGGAAATGTCGACGTGCTATGTTTACTTGCCATGTATCGATTCGACTTTTGGCTTCAACTTGAATTGGACGATGAATTAATTGATGTTTAGAAGAACCTGCTATTTTTTCAGACGTTTGCCAAGTATCAACTCGACTTTGTCCAATAATATGAATAGGCCTATGGATCTAAATTCATAAAATGAAGAAATTTTTCTATAATGAAAAAAAGAAATATTTAAGAAGACATACTTCTGTTGCACTGTGAGTTCGTCGGTGTAAAGATGGTGTTTGCCATGTGTCTATTCGGCTTTTAGCTTCAACTTGAATCGGACGATGAATAAATAGATTTTTACTAGGATGCGAAATTCTATCAGATGTACGCCAAGTATCTACACGGCTTTGTCCAACAACATGGAGAGGTTTATGGATCTATAAATAGTGGACACCAATTATATTTATACAAGAAAGTATAGATGTATACTTCAGTAGCACTATGAGCTCGTCGCCGTGATATGTTTCGTTGCCATGTATCGATTCGACTTTTAGCTTCTACTTGAATTGGACGATGAACTAACTGATGTTTAGAAGAATGTGGTATTTTTTCGGCTGTTTGCCAATTATCAATTCGACTTTGACCGATAATATAAATAGGTTTATCAATCTATAAACAATAGATATTAATTATATTTACGTAAGACAAGAAAGATTTATACTTCAGTAGCACTATGAGTTCGTCGTCGTGATGTTGTTGTTCGCCATGTATCAATTCGACTTTTAGCTTCTACTTGAATTGGACGATGAATCAAACGACTTTTAGTTGTTGGAAGTTTTCTTGCTGATGTTTGCCAAGTATCTATTCGGCTTTGACCGATGATATGAACGGGTTTATGAATCTGAAAAATATGTTATTTAACTGATTTATTACAATAAAGATTGTTTATACTTCAGTAGCACTATGAGCTCGTCGTCGTAATGCAGTTGTTTGCCAAGTATCAATTCGACTTTTCCCTTGAATTTGAATTGGATGATGAAAAATCTGAAATTATGAAAAAAAAGAGAAAGTTTTCTTTTTTCTTGTTTTATTTTATTTTGATAAACAAACTTTTTCAAAATTCGACTTTCTTTGTAATGGTTGTTTTTGCCAAGTATCAATTCGACTTCGAGCAATGATATTTATCGGTTTATGAGTCTAAATAAAATTCAACAAATGAAGTTTTCTTCCCCAATTTTTTGTAAACTTTATTATTACTTCAGGTATATATTGTCGTCTTATTGGATGAGATGAACTTCGAAGCCAGGTATCAACTTTACTTTTTGCAATAATTTGTATAGGTTTATGAAAAATCTTAATAAATAAATTTGTTAGTTTTCGAAAACAAAAATATATTCATGTAATACTTTAGGAATATCCGATCGAATATTCGGTTGATGTTTTTGCCATGTATCAACTCGACTTTTACCTTCAATTTGTATTGGTCGGTGAAGAACCTATATGTATATATATATATGAAAGTTTACTTAAAACTTGTGAAGAATGTTGGGGGTTATTGAGATAAGGAAAAGTCTCAAAGACTTTGAGACAAAAGCATCCCGGTTCTAAGAGTAATGGTCGTTTTACTAAAAGTTAGGCACACGGGAAAAATAAAAATGAAGAGTTTCAATCAGAAATTTTACCTATAGATAGATTTCATAGTTCTGAAAGTTTCAACGAAAATGAATATATCTTTCGCAAGATAATTAATTTCAAAGTTAAGTTTGAAGCTTTCAGAACTATCAAATTTATCTATGGATTTAATTTCAGATCAAAACTCTCTATTTTAGTTTTTTCTGCATGTTTGTCTCATAGTAAAACGATCATAACTCTTCACCAATAAGATATAGGTGCGAAATTTTTCAGGCTTTTCCTTAGCTTAATATACGCAGAGTTCTTTCGCCTTTCGTACACACTGACTAGTCTCAAGAGCAGGTGTATGTCATAACTTAATATCTCGAGAGTTGTTTACGTAAATCAAAAAAACAACAAAATCATAGCTACTTTTTGTAATTGTGATCTATCTTCAAATTGTTGTTTTCTCCATGTATCAATACGACTTCGTGCATGAATAACAAGAGGTTTATGAATCTAATGAGAAACAATTATGAATAATTGTTTTTTTGTTTTTACAATATTTACTATTCGTTTAATTTGAGTTTGATGAATAGGATCTTGACGAAGCCAAGTATCAACTTGACTTTTTCCTTGTACTTGTATTGGTTTATGAATAATCTTTAAAGAAAAGAAATAAAACTAAATATTTTGTTTTTCTTATTCTTTTCCTACTCGTTGAAAATGAGATGTTGGATGTATTGAATGTTTTCTCCATGTATCAATTCGACTATGTCCAATAATATGTAATGGTTTATGAGTAATCTAACATAGATAAATCAATTTTATATATTCATATTACCAAAAGGAATATTTTAGTTTTACTTCATAAGCACTATGAGCTTTACGAATAGGTGGTTGTAACCAAGTATCAACTTTACTTTTACCAATAACTTGTATTGGTCGATGAATAATCTTATGAAAAAGAAAAAACTTTTCTTTTCTAGGAAATTTTATTTCAATAATTTCATACTCGAGCACTTGTACTTCTTGATCGACGTGTTAATTTTAACCAAGTATCAATACGTGTTTTACCATGAATTTCTATTGGTTTATGATGTATTTTTATTTTAGATTTCGGATGAGTATGAGGTTTTCTTAACCATGTATCAATTTTAGGTTTAGCTACAACACGTGGTGTACGACTTGGAATAGTTTGAGATGTTATTGTTGTTGATAAATCCTCATTCCATGTATCATATGGTTTTGGATGATAGAAAGTTTTAAAAGTTTTTAAATATTGTCGTTTTATTGGTCGTCGACGATAATTTCTATTCCAACAATCAATGCGTGCAACAGCATAATGAATTTTTTTCCAAGCAATTTTTTTTCTCAAGATTTTTCGACGTCTTATAGGAATATCTATTGTTAGATTACGCCATAAAATTGATGGTGGTTCATGAGATATAGCACGAAATTGTTTTTTTGTAACTTTTTCGATTGGTAATTGAACACTTTTTGGACGAATACATCGATCAAATGAATTGACTGTAAAATATTCAATTGTATCATCAACATATTCACAAACAGCATGAAGTGCTCGATTAAAAAGTAAATATTCCATTGATGTTTCTGATGCCTAAAATAAGAAAAATTTTAGAAAACAAAAAAGAATTTTTGAAGTAAAAGTTTTATACATTATGTAATGATAATTGTGTTGGATCATAAGGTAATGCTTGTTCCGTAGGTTGAGATTCTTCAAATTGTTTTGATGAATATGTTGCATATTGACCAGTAAAATCAAGATCATATGTATTTGAACGAAGCTATAAACGAAATGAATTTTGTAAAACAGAAGAAAAAAAATGATTCTTTTATATGTACTTGTGTAAAAGATAATTTTGTTGATTGATAATCTAATGTTTGTTCAGGTTGATTATATTCATTAAATTGATTTGTTTCATATGTAGCATATTGTTCTTCAAACTTATCATTATAGAAATCTGCTTGAAGCTAAATATAAAATAAATAAATAAATATAATTGATTTTGATTTAAAATCTACTTGTTTAAGAGAATATTTAGTTGGATCACGGTCTAATAGTTGTTCAGCTTCAGTAAATTCATTTAATTGATTCGATACATATTCTGCATATTGTTTATCAAAATCAAGATTATAAACATTAGATTCAAGCTAAAATTTAAAAAAAAAAACATAATATATAGAAATGTAGAAGAACAAAATTTGACGATTTGCCCGGGGGACGAAACTACGAGATAAAAAATTATCCTAACTGGAACTAAAGATAATAATTGTCTTTCAAGCGAGTTGTCTTCTAAATCATATCAATCAGAATATCATTCAAGCGAGATGACCTTACTAAAGTGCTAGTTATCGATTACATAAATCAATTCTAGAATAATTTTCTCTAGGCCAGATCTACCGAAGTCAAGGTCGGGACCGAAAAACTTTTGATTTTCTAGATGTTTAATAATACATATTTTCTTTACTTGTTTAATTGATAAATTTGTTGAATCATAATTTAATGTTTGTTCAGGTTGATGATATTCATCATATTGATTTGTTTCATAGAGTGCATATTGTTTTTCAAAATCAAATTTATGTGTTTCAGGTTGAAGCTAAAATATAAGTAATAAAAGTTTAAAAAGTCAATGTTTTATTTTAAATAGATATACTTGTTTGAGAGAATATTTTGTTGAATGACGATCTAATGTTTGCTCTGTTTGATGATATTCATCAAATTGTGTTGATAAATATTCAGCATATTGTTTTTCAAAATCAAGTCTATATATATCGGGTTGAAGCTAAAATATAAGAGATAAAAATTTATAAATCAAAGTTTGTTTTTTTGGGAAATACATACTTGTTTAAGTGAATATTTCGTTGCATGACGATCTAATGTTTGTTCTAGTTGATGATGTTCATCAAATTGTGTTGACAAATATTCTGCATATTGTTTTTCAAAATCAAAATCATTAATTCTTGGACTAAGCTATAAAAAAAAACACAATAAAAGAATTATTAATCTAGTGTAAAAGTCATAGGATAAAATATTCACTCATCAACTGATAAGAGTTAGAACCAATTAGTTAGATTTTCTTCGCTATTTTCGAATATGTATTCAGATTTTTCACAATTCGAAACAACAGTTTTGACAGAGTCCTTAGTTTATTTTTTTTTACAACAGCTTCAACTTCTGAGACATCTATTTCCTGTAAAGAGCTAGTTTGACTAATTGCTTCTGGTTTTAACGAGTTAATGTATGAATACTTTATGTCATAGGTTAAATAAAAAAAAATTATAATAATGATTTACTTGTTTAAGAGATAATTTTGTTGATTCATAATCTAATGTTTGTTCGAATGGCTGAAATTCCTCAAATTGTTTTGAAATATATTCAGCATATTGTTTTTCATAATCAAAATCATATGTACTTGAACGAAGCTTTTTAGATACGAAAAAAAAAAAGATTATTTTAAATAAAGTACAAAATAATGAAAAATAAAATTTACTTGTTGATAAGGTAAACTTTCTTGATCAAAATCAGATGTTTGTTCTATATGATTATTTTCATTGATTTGTTTTGGTATGAAAGTTGCATATTGTTTTTCATAATCAAGATCATATGTACTTGCATCAACCTTACGTAAAACATTAAGTTTATAAATTTTATTCTAATAAGAAAGTATTATTTCGTTTGTTTTTCTTTTTACTGTTTCTATAGGATAAATTTCTGGTGATTTTGTTGAAGTTCGATCGAATCCAAGTTCAGTTAAATATTGTTCTTGAGCTAAATAATATTGAACTGGTATTGGTAAAGGAGTTGGTGGTACCTAGAAAATAAATATAGTTTAATTTTAATTGTATACAATTATTGTAGCAATTTCGCTAATCTATTATCAAGATTAACCTTGATTACAAATAGACAATATTTGAATAATTTATACGATGAAAAGATTTGTCATTGGATTAGAGAGAAAAAGAACTTAATCGATGTATATCGAATTTTGTATTCTTATAGAAATGACTAATTGAATACTTACTGGAATAGGTTCTTCAACTTGTTCTATAATAATTTGTGGAGGTGGCAGTGGTGGAGGTGAAGGAGGTTTCTAAATGATTAAATATTTAATTAGATTTTATGAACAATAGGTTGTTGAATAATTACTGGAGGACGATTAATACGTTGTTTATAAAGAGTAGGAAATTTGATTACCTAAATATCGTAAAGATTTTGTATTAGATTATAATCAGATTTTTTTTTTCTTCTTCAACTAACTTTAGGTGATGGTGGTTCAATAATTTCATCTATAATTTGAACTTGTGGTACAGGTTCTTCAATAATCTAAACGAAATATAAAATAATAATTCAAATATATTAAGATTTGTACTGTAATTGGTTCAGGTGGCGGTGGCGGCGGAGTTGGCGGTGGAGGAGTTGATAATTTTTTCATTTCTCGAGTAACAGTAACAATTCGACTAGTTTGTTCAATTTCAAATGGTCTAGTAATAACTTCAATAGTTGTTTCTTCAGGTGTATCATCAACTTCAGTATGAACTTGAACAACACCTTGATGTTTTGTAATAGTTGTATCATATGTATCAATAATAGGTTCTTCTTTATCTTCAAATTTTAAACCTTTATTATAGATTTTAATATCTCCACCACCAGGTTTATATCCACGATTCCATGAATCAATTTTTGAACCAACAATTTTTTTTCCTTTTATTACACGTTTTGATTCTATAGGAATGTCAGTTATTTCATTTTCGATTTTATAGATTGGTTTAGTATCAATAATCTTATAAAAGATAAAATACATTAGATGAAAATGTAGAATTTTGTTAATTAACATACTTCTACAGTTGATGGAATTTCTGTTTCAATGATTTCTTGTTGTTGTGGTACAACAATTGTATCAAGATGTTCAACAATAACTTCACGTATTGGTTTCGATATTGGATTACTTTGTATTTGAACTTCTTCAAATTCTACGTGAGGTTGTCGTTTTTCAACAGTTATTTCTTCTGTTTTTATTGTCTAAATAAGATAGAAAGAGATATTCAAAACAAAATATTTCATTTATCTTTACTTGAATTGGTTCTTTTTGTTCTATAATTGTTTCAGTTGCTCTTGCACGTGGTCGCCGACGAACAGTACGAACTGTTTCTGTAATTTCGGTTGTTGTTAAAGGTACAGGAACAGGAACAGGAATAGGAGGTGGTGGTGGTGGTAGCACTGATACAGATTCAGATGGCTGAGGAGTTGCATGGTGATGATGATGATGATGTTCTTCAACGATTACACGCGGTGTTTGTTGAGGAATAATAGGATGAGTATGAATGATTTGTTGTGGTTGTGGAGGAATAATAGCACGAGCATGAATGATTGGTTGTGGTTGTGCAATTATTGCAGACAGTGGAATAGGTTGCTGTTGTTGTTGATAGAGAACAACAGGTAATGTTGGTGGTGGAGCAGGAGCAACAGGAACTATAGCTGGAGTAGTTATTTGAATTGGTGTTGTCAAAATCTATTAAACAAAAAGAAATCAAAAGAAGATTAATTATGAATCGAAAAAACAAATTCGAAGACAAGATTCTCTTAGCTTTTTTTCAAGATTTCCTCAAATAAATATTCACACCTGTTGTGCTGTATCATAGAAATCATTTTCTTCCTGTGTTGCCAAACGTACTATCCCATCAAGATTTTCCATATAAAACTATAGTCATATAGATTGAAACTCATTAAACCTAACTAATCGACTTACAACTCTATCTGTTTGTTGAGCTATAAATGTTTAAATGATAGTTCTGATGAAAGTTGAAGTGAAAAGAATTTTAAACAAGACGTCTTGTTTTTTTTTTCCTACCGTCGGTTTTTCATCATGAATAATTGTTGCACGTTGATGATCAACTGGAATAATACGTTCTTTAATAACATGTCGTTTATTTAACATTGCTATATCATCATCATAATGTCTTTTATATGATAATGGTGTATATGAATAAGAATTTTCATCCTGTATAGTAGTAAAATATCCTGAATTATCATCATATTGTGAGGCAGACGGTGTTGATGATGTTCGAGTTCGATGAAGTAGAAGTTGTTTTGATGCACCACTTAGAAGATAATCTGGTAAATCATTTAAATGAACTCGACGATGAAGTAATTTTGTACTTATTGGCGTCTTAAAGATTAAATTGAAAAGAATATATAGACAAAAAAAAAAGTTGTTTTGTTTTTTTATTGTTGTCAATACCTCATTTTCATCATCTATTGTTTGTGTATAATGAAGTGCATGATTTGTTTCATTTGGATTTAATAATGGCAATGGTTTAGTTGAAATAATATGATGTATATGACGATAATCATCAGTAGACATTATTATGTGATAATGTCAAAACACAAATGTGTTTTCAATTGAATATGCTTATAAAAAATGAGAGAATAAAAAAGCAACAAAACACTATCAAATGTTGCTATCAGCAACATATTTAGACCACCTAAGGAGTAATAAAATTGGCAGAATATTTTAACCAAAAAAAGGGAATTAAAATGAGCCGTACACAAGTGGGAAGAAAAGAAGGAAAAGAAAAAGCAAGATAATATAAAAACATCTGAGTTTGATCATGATTGATAATAGTAGATAAGCCGGTATTTTTTTTACTTCGGCTAACGATCAATCATAAGAAAAAATGTGAAGGAAATAAAGAAAAACAACAATGAAATTAATAAATATTTTTATTATCTCACCGTTGTTCCGGATGCACTTTCACGTGCTGAACCTGATGTTGCATCAGATGTTGTTGGTCGATTAGCACTTGTTGAACGTTGAGGAGCAACGGTAGTTGATGAACTAGTTGCTGTAGCTGGTCGTGTAGCTAAAGAAAAAAAAATAAAACAAAAACAAATTGTTCTTTAATTTCTAATACAAGAAATAATAATATGAGTTTTACCTGTAGTAAGATTATGAGATGTTGGACGTTCTTTTGCAACAGTTGTTTTACTAGCTGAAGTAGATGCACGTGATGTAACAGTTGAAGCTGTTGAATGTGAAGAAACATGAGTGGCACCACCAGAAGCAGTTTTTGTTGGTGGTCTTGTTGAAGTTTGTGGTGGTCGAGCAGTCGGTTTGCTTGTTGCACTAGCAGGAGCTGCTGTTGCAGCAGTAGCAGCAGATGTTGATGATGAACTACCTTCTGGAGCTGTTGAAAGTATTGTTGTTTGTTGATCAGATGTAGTGGCATCCAAACTTTTATGAACTGTTGATGGGCGAGTAGATTTTGGTACTGATGGTTTCATTGTCGACCGTGCTGCAGCTGTTGTTGTAGAACTAGCGGTTGGTTTAGGCTTAGCTGCTGTTGCCGCTGCTGCAGATGGTGTAGATTTAGTTGGAACATCACGCTATATTAAGTATATAAAATATTGTAATATATTTGATAAATTTAGATACATACGGTTGGTTTAGGACCTGTTGATAATTCATGTGATGGAGAAGTTGGTGTTACCTTTGGTTTATGAGAAGCTGTTGCACTAGCTGTTGATCCTGATAGAGGAGGTTTACGTACCGATGTCGGTGGTTTTGGTTCAGTAGATTTTGTAGTTGAACCTGTTGCTTTATGTTCAACGGTTTTTGATGTTGCAGCGACAGTCGGTTTATGTTCTGTAGTTTTTGATGTTGCAGCGGCATGTGGTTTATGTTCCGTAGTTTTAGATGATGCAGCTGCTGCTGTTGCAGCTGGTGGTTTATGTTCTGTACTTTTGGTTGTAGCAGCTGCTGCAGATGATGGTTTAGATCTTGTGGCAAGACTTGATCGTGTAGCATGTACAGCACTTGCAGGTTTCTTTGTTGTTGAAGCAGTAGCTTTAGTAGGGGATGCTGCTACTGGAGCTGTTGGTGAAGATGTTATTGGTAAAGTTGAATCTAATTTTGGTGAAGTAGCAGATGGTATTGTTTGTTCAACATTCTCATGTTCTTCAGTTGTTAATGGTATTTTAGCATCATCATTTGATTGAGTAGAAGCTAGAGGTTGTTCTGATGATGTTTCTAAAACTGGTGATATTGCTTCTGCGTCTGTATCTGAAAATAATGGTGGTGGTTGTCGATCTGATGTAGCCGGTGGTGATGGTGAAGTAACAAGATCAATTTTAGCTGCTAATTCCTTAGCAGCATTATCAACATCTGCACATGCTTCATTGAATAAACGTCCTTCCTCAACGTTATTTAATGGTTGTTCATGGTCATTCGATTGATTTGATATAATTACATTTTCTTGATCATTCAATGGCTTCTCTTCTTCATTACTTGATGAAATATTGTCATGTTGTTGTTGTTGTGCTTCTTCTTTAACTGGTGAGGAAAGTACTTGAGCTTCTTCTTTAACAGGTGAAGTCAAATATTCATGTTGTTCTTCTTTGACTGGTGAATCAATAATCTCGTATTGGTCCTTAACTGATGATGAGATACTTTCATCTTGTTGCTCTTCAACTGGTGAATGAATATTTTCAACATGTTGTTCCTTAACAGGTGATGAAAGAAGTTCTTCTTGATGTTCTTTAACTGGTGAATGAATTTCTTCATGTTGTTTTTCTTCAACAGGTGAATGTTGAATATGATCATGATGTTCATCTTTAACTGGTGATTGAATATTTTCATGTTGTTCATTAATAGGTGATGAAACAATTTCTTCTTGATGTTCTTTGACTGGTGAATGAACTTCTTCATGTTGTTGTTCGTCGACAGGTGAATGAATATCTTCTTGATGTTTATCTGCTACTGGCGAATGAACACTTTCATTGACAGGTGATGGAATAATTTCATATTGTTGTTCTGCAACTGATGATTGTAAATCTTCTTGATGTTGTTCCATAACGGGTGAATGAATTTTTTCAGCATGTTGTTCTTTAACAGGCGATTGAAGAATTTCATCTTGATGTTCTTTGACTGGTGAATGAACTTCTTCATATTGTTGTTCTTCAATAGGTGAATGATGAATTTCTTCATGATGTTCATCTTTCAATGATGATTGAATATCTTCATGTTGTTCATTGACAGGTGATGGTATAATTTCATATTGTTGTTCCGTAGCTGGAAATTGTAAATCTTCATGATGTTGTTGCATAACTGGTGAATGAATTTCTTCATGTTGTTCATTAACAGATGATTGAAGATTTTCTTCTTGTTGTACTTTGATTGGTGAATGCACTACTTCATGTTGTTCGTGCTTGACAGGAGAATGAATATCTTCATGATGTTTATCTTTAACTGGTGATTGAGTATCTTCATGTTGTTGGTTGATAGGTGATGATAGATTTTCATCATATTGTTGCTTAACTGATAATTGTAAATCATCTGGTCGTTTGTTGATTGGTGAATGAATTTCTTTATTTATATCATCTTTAACAGGAGAATGAATATGTTCTTTGATTGGTGATATTAAAATAATATCATTTGGTGGATTAGTAAAACTTGTTGAATCCAATTGTTGTTCATGTTTAACTATATCTGCTTCAGATGAACTGTCAGTAACATCAAGAGAAATATCATTCTTATTATGCTGTGGTGATGATACATCGTTAGTTGGTGATGGTGTCAAACCCGTTTTTTTATCTGCATGTATACGATCCAAATCAGGTGCATTAGGATCAAGTTCAAGTAAAAGTGTACTTTTGTCTGTTACATCACCATTACGATTTGAATTAAAATTTAATGATGAATCTTCTGATTCTTCATTTTTACGTGTTGAAAATTCATGAAGATGATAATGATGAGGTTGAAAATCATGTGAAGAAACTTAAAAATATAAATAAATATTAACTTGACTCTTGTTTTTTTTTTCTTTCTTTTAATTAATGTCTATTTTACCTTTTTCATTTTCATTTGTATCCACCGGAAAAAGATCATTATTTAATGAAAATGGATGATGTTCATCATGTTTATTGCCATTAGTTCCATTTTGATGTTCATCCTTATTAGTACCATTACTTGAATGATATTCTTGTTCATGAGGTTCATTACCATTATGATTACCAAATGGATCCATATCTTTAAATGATCGATTATCATAAAGATCATTTGTTTTTTGTTTTGTTGGTGTTGTTACTGTTGGAGATGATTGTTGTTGTTGTTGTTGTTGGTCGAATGAAACAAGTGGATCATCAATGGGGCTTTGATCAGACATGAATGATCGTTCGAATCTCGTATATATAATAATCTATGAAATCGAAAAAAAAACGAAAGGATAAATATTGAATAGATGACAATAGTGACCTTTATTAGACAGTTTTTTTTTCTTCTATCAATATTGTATAAAATAGAAAGATTGACAGACAGACAGACAGACAGAAAGAAGGACACCTCAGGCTTTTTTTTCGTATAAAACGATCTCTATGAATAGGATCAAATAACCAAACGGACACGATGATAAATGGTGGACTGGGCGGAATCAGTAATGGTAATGATGTCGGCTATAAATCACAAAATACTTACAAAAAAAAAGAAGAAGAAAAGAAAAAAGAAAAAAAAAAGAGAAATGGGACGAACAGTTCAGCAACTGTGCACAACTATGTATGCATCAGCTTGAACAATCAAATACATAAAAACTTTTGTCACTGGAAGCAGATGTATATATTTCAAATACAAGAATTATCGATATGAATAGTACGACGAGAAGAATGATTGTATGAAAGATGAATAATGTACATGTTCTACTGTGTTTTGTAACACATTTACACTTTCGTTCTTTTTCACACCTTTGTTGACCTTTTGAACTTGTCAACGTGTGTTTAGATAATCTAATAGTTTGATAATAAACACCTGTTTTCCCACTCAATTATCTTTATTTCTTTTCATGAACATGGCAACTGTCTATATTTATCAAATAAGAAAAGACGTTTCTACCCATTAGATCTATCCCATAGGCTATAAACATAATTGTACGAGAAATAAGAGACGTACTGTTTTTTGTTATTTATAGAGTATAATAGGATGTTGCGATTGTATGAATTCAATGTAGAGAATCAATTAACCAGTATATGTTAAATTATCATCGAATACATTTAGATTTCATGATATAATAACAACTATACACGTATTAAAAATACTACGACATGAAATCTAACAATATAAGCGCTTGTTCGACAAGATGACTAATGTCATCAATGTATACACATCTATTGAGACAACATGCTCTCGGCCTTCTCTCATTCTTTCGCATTCATTTCAACATCTGTCGTCAATGAGCCGATCAATTGCCTATTCGAGAGCCTTCTTTGCCTCATCTCAATCTAATTGTCGAAAAGAGAAAGCGTGTGCGAGAGAGAGACACAGGAGTAAAGAAAAAAAAAGTGGCGACAAACGTTCAATTGTACAGACCATTTCCGTTCTTTATACATGTATTAGAAAAAGGATTAAACATGTTTATCTAAGATTTTCGATAAATACTCTATGACAATTAATCATTAAATCACCTATAATATCAAAGAAAAAGAATGAATAGGTCTTATCAAAGTGTCAAACTAGACAAAAAGAAATAAAAAAAAAAAAAAATTTATTATCGACTCATTCTTCCTTAAAACTGTCGACAGTATTCCAGCAATCACGTCGGTGTTTTCTAATTCTTTCTTTTTATTTTATAGTTGGTCTGTCGTTTCTCTCTCCTTCCTTTTCTTTCTTTTTTTTTCTCCTACAGCAATCAAGAATGATTCAGCGACACTCGACTTGTGCAAAAGCAGCATTGCTGCCTTTCCTTGCCCGAACTCATTTTTCTTCGTCGTCGTCTTTCTTTATTTCATCCTGTGTTGCTGTTGATGGCGCTACCACACGGACATTGCTTGATCTGCTCTATCAGACACGCAAGAAATGGAGAAGAAAAGAGGAAAAAAAAGCAACAACTACAATTCTCGTATAAACAGAAAGCGAATGGAAACTCATCATCTGATGTTGAAGAGGAAAAAAAGAGAAATGAACTTGAGGATAATGAAAAAGTTCATCATGAACTTATTCTTTTTTATGTATCAAGTCAATTAAAATAAAAACTGATTTAGTAAACGATAAATATCATTTAGGTTCTAGAAAACAATTAAACAACTGTACAAAGAATACATACATATACAAAGAACAAAAAAAAACGAAGAAATAACAGAGAGACAGACGGCAGACGTTACAATCTCGTCTATCTCTCATTTCTTCTATCTATAGAATATATTTACATGATTTAGAAGAACAAATGATGAAGCGAAACTAGTTACTAATATTTTCTTATTCTTCCCTCTCGCTCTCTCTTTTTCTTTATTTAGTTTTTCTATTAGATGAAATGCAAAAAAAAAAAAAAAGTCTAACACGAAAATCTCATGAGAAATAGATGATGAGGGTACGGATCGACAAACGAGAATACGAATGAAATTAAATATACTCCCTCTTGTCGTCTTTTCTCTTCTGTTATTTTTTCATTCTTTATGTCTCTAGTGCACAATGAAAAGAGTTAAAAAGATAGGACTCGTAGAAAAAAAGTTATATTTTTCAAATATGAACCCTTAGAAAGACGATTAAATTTCTAATGAGAAAAACTGACTTTTTTTTTTCTATTTTGTTTTCTTTTTTCTCTAATATAAACAATTAAATCGATCTAGCTTACGATCTTGTATGTTTTTTTTATCTTTTTATACAGTTCACTATAGGAAAATAGAATCGGCAGTAACGAACAAACGCATTTAGTACAGTAAACGAGAAGAATAGAGCATTACTGACTACCATTTTTTCTCTCGTCTCTATATTATCCATTCATTGTTTGGCAGTCAGTAGATGACGCCATTTGTTGAACAGAGATCATTCATCTGCCGGAACCAAACAAAATCAAAGAGTTATTTCTCATTCATAGAAACGATCAAAAAAAAACAATGTTTCAATTGTTTAATATGGTTTCAATCAAATGAAAGCATTTTAAGTGAAATTTTAAAATAGTTTATCTAGTAGAACTTTCCTAATGTCTAAGTTAATTTAAAATGAAGAACATATGAAAATCTCATTATCAAGAATCTTTCAGATAGGTTCAATTATTCGATTACTTACTGATATAGATTTTTTTCATGTAATTTTATTAAGTCAGTTTTAATATTCGACTTTCGACAGTATTTATTATTAAGGTCAGCTCGACAGAAAGAAAAGAAAGATAAGAAAACGCAAATAAACAACCTGTTTTAGGAATTACATTCGAAAATCGAAAATAATCATCGAAGTATTCTTGTACATGTTACCGAGTTTCATAAATATGATTACGTCTCTTCATCAATTGGGAGAGCTTTGGGATTATTTGGTTTCTTTTGATATCCTTAAATATGTCATGTTGATATCATTTATTTATCTAGAAGCTAGCCATTGATTTTTAGACATAATAGACTTCGCTACATATCTTGTATTTAGTATATTGTTATCTATTGTTCATTTGTATAATGTTGATCGAACAGACAGAATGACAAAGATAACCTTGCTTCTAATTTTATAATTGAAAATTGAATCAAGATCGGTTAATAAAATAGAAAAAGATTATTAAATTGTAGAGAAAAAAAGTTTTTCATGTCTCATATTATAAATTTCTATATAGAGGCTTTTAATGTTTTTAGAATCCTATTCTATTGTTCAGTTAATAGAAAAAACTTGTTTGCTCGAAGATTATTTTTGTTTTTATCTACTATTTCTCGGAATTGTAAAATATCATAGAATTTATGGATATTAATGGTTTTCTTTAATGATGTATTTGTGCGGTCTATTATTATTAAATTTTTGCAGAATGACTTTTCATTTTAGTTGTTCGTGACAGACATTCTTTGAAAGTATTTATCATTTCTCTAATACCTTATTTATTTAATTTAGAACACGAAACAAAGTAAAAATCTATTAATATCCATGTTAGTTGCTATTACAGATCATGAAACTTTGTTGAATTTTCCTATGGTAGCACAGGCAACCAACAAGTATTTGCAATGATCGAACAGCAACGAAACTCACGAGTATATTACAGTAGTTCTTGTGTAATTGGATAATCAAATTCAAAAGCAAAGTATTCATATTCATTCTTCTGATTAGGTAATTCGTCTATACTATGTTTAGTATGATTCTAAAAAATTTTAATCGAAAGTTGATAAATGATTAAATTTCAAACAAAAAAAAAACATTATTATAGACAACATTGGTTACATCACGGAGAAATGATCTATTTTAAAAAAACTTAAAATTTCTCAAAAAAGATTTTTCTACACAATATTCAAATGATGATGTAGATATGATGTCATTTCTTATTTGATAAATGTTATCGAAATTTGCATTTAAATATTTTTTTATTGAAAGTCTGTGTTCATTTGATTTTTTTATGCGTTTCATTGCTGATGATATTGACAAAAATTTATAAGTAATATTTTGATAATTGTTAAATGCATTTGATTTCAATGTTAGATTCGATATCTCTATCATCAATATATTTTAATATTGTTTGATTGAGATACACTTGAAATAGCATTAGATGAATCGAACTGTTCTTTTTTTCATTATCATAGGATTCAATATATTTTATTTTTGAATAGAAATATTTCAAAAATATTAATGGAATCATTATCAAATGTTGAATGATAATGAAGAATAAATATAGTTCGTTTATCTATTATTATTGAATAAATATGTTTTATAATTTCATATGATAGTGCATTGATAATAAGAAATAAATAATTAATATGTGCATTAAGATTGTTAAGTATAGTTAAATCTAATGTTTGTTTAATAATTGAATCAAAATAATCAATACAAATAAGATAATAAATATTATATGTATTTGGATGTTGATAATTTCTTAAGTCATCAATATAGATTATAGAAGAATGAAAAACATTTGAGAAACAATTGAAAAGATAAGAAATAAATGAAGAATTTGCGTAAGTTTTTGATGTAATTATAATAACAGAATTTTGTTTTTGAAATTGATTAGTGTTACTACCTCGATCAAGTATCCCTAGAAGAATTCCAGGCAGTCTCCCGAAAACTCATAGGGAAATCCCGATAGAGATTCATTGCAGACTTGCTATGAATTTCTCAGGAGTCTATGAAAACAATTACGGCAGCCGTAAAGAGACATATACAATACGTCTATGAAAACAGGTTTCTATCACTGCAAATATATAAGCTAAAAAGTTCTTTACTGTTATTGCTTGATACATAACTCAATAGAGTTTAATAACATAACACATTCATACTTTAAATATCATGTATAAGTCTGGTCGAATCCGAAGACAAACGAACATCAATAAAAAACGGTATTCACATAAACCTACGCTTCAAGGTCCATTCTTTTTCTGTTTGAAGCTTGGTAATACGAACTAGATTTTCATGAAAGACACTCACAAACTTTACAACTTCTTAAATTTAATCAAAATTGAATTAAAGTTAGACATAACTTGATATAAAAACCTCTAACTGACTAAACCTATAGCATACAGTAGTTATGATTGTAATTATTCTGTCTATTACATGCTAAATGCTAATATGCACTTTTAACAAAGAAGATAGGAAAAAATGTGCCACACTTTTTTATACGATGATTAATGTGTAGTTTTGAAGTTCTATAGAAGAAATAAACAAGATAGACAATTTGTTCGTCTTCAAAATATTAAAATTAAAGGGAACATCTTCATCAAAATATCACATCTTGAATCGTAGCACATGAAAGTTTGATAATCGCAGTCATAGCTTTGACTTATTCAATAAAAATTGTCTAATCACAGTAATCGATTAGAAATATAAATGGAAAAGACCAAAACTTCAGGTAGTAATCATGCATAACCAGTTCAAAAAGTTGCAACAAGTTTATTATTTAAATTTTAATTCAATGTCGTCAAGCAATGCGATATAAACTGCTCCTGTGCTAAAGTGTTCACCATTCAACAGCATGGATGCAGTTATTCTCAATATCTATTCGAACAGTCACACATTCGCTTACAAAAGCCGCACTAAAGAATACATTATCGGTAACTCATCAAAAACCGTAGAGTGAAGTAGATATACACAAAAATAGAATTGAATTCTGCAGTTATTGAGAGTAGTATCTATTGACATAGTCGATCCTGTATATCCTACCGAAGGTTGTACCGAGAAAACGAAAATTGGTGGAAGAGAATTGGTTGATATGAAAATTGATCGACACGAAAAATAGTCAATAAATTCTTAATAAAATAATATAAAAGCTTCGAATGCGACGAATCAGCTAGAACATTGTAAGAAACAAACGGAAGACGCCATTAGTAAAATGTCCATCACTACAACGGAGCTTTTTTCTCTAGTACGTGCAGCATATGAACTAGAATTCCTTTTTAAAACTAAAATTGTTAGATTCATGTGTATTTGCATGAAATTGTATCGAAATTAATTCTGATAGAACTATGGAACTGGCGAAAAAAAGCGCTTTAAAAGTGTAGTATGATTGTCAGCATTGGTGCGAATACGGATGAGAGTACAGGTGCAGGTATGAGTGCTGGAGTTGCTGAAAATTTTAGTGAGCGATGGGGTTCAAGAGGATCTATTCCGACACTCGCACCCGTTTTTTCGTTTTCATTTTTTTCCTCCTGCTTAAAACCAACTATTCTGGATAGAGGTTGGAATCGACTTTACTTTCACAGGCAGAGGTGCAGAATCTTCCAAAAATTCCCCCCCACGCAAAAAAGGTTTTTGAAAAATTTTCCCACTGTATTTTTTTTGGCCAGCAGGTTTTTCCAAAATTTCCCTATTATTTGAGTTTTTCAAAAAATTCCCCCCCCCCCCTCCCGCGAGGACGCATGAGGAAGATTCTGCACCTCTGTGCACAGGGTACTACAACACATATATTAAAAGTACTATGGACAGCTTATACACCAATATGAATTTATTTTTCACACTGTTGTTGTCCTTGTTGAAAGATTCTTCTTTCTTTTTTCTCATTAAGAATTTTTCGACTATTTTTGTCGTCGACCAATTTCCGCAGTGACTAATTTTCGTCTCGACCAATTTTCATTCGACTGTTTTTCGTTCGATCAATTTTCATGGATCCTTTTTTTTCTGTTTAAGTGACTTTATAATAGTTTTATGTCGTAAGTTTCTGTCACTTTTGCAATTACTTGTTTGGACAAACAAATGCAAAATAATCATAAAATGTGAAAAAGTCACCCTGGTAAAAACTGCAGTTTACTTTGTATTTGGTTAGATTTTATTCTTCATATGGTAAAAAAATAGTTGTTTATAACCTCGGAATTTCTTTTTTTTACTCTTCTTAAGTAAACTTTGTCTGAGAGTTGACGGAATAGTTGGTCGCATAAGGTTTTTTATATTTCTTTATTGTTTCAACTGTAACTTATCCGATAACTGATTAGATCACAGTAATCGAACTATATCTAAAGCAAACAATCATAGGCATCATCGTGTCTAAGATTTTGTCATAATGATTCTTCAGGCAACTACTTAAATGCCATGCACTCTCTTTGTATCCATTTCGTCATTATCTCTTACTATGAAAATATCTAAAATCTGTGGTTAGATAGTAGGTGATGACATTTAATCAATAGTTATGATAATGCTTATTTAATACCATCGATCAGTCCACAGAGGGATAGCTCTGTAAAATTTCTCATCCAGATCATATTTTGTTTCAGCTGCCTGTCGTTTAAAATGCTTTTTCTACTATTTTTAACATCTTGGCAATGTTTGAGGGACTGCATCAAATGTCAAGCAGTAGCTATTGCTAACTGCTATACAACGCTAGAAAGTGCAATTCTCAAAAACATCTGATTATCAAACTTGATCGTCGTTACTGCCAGATGAATTTTTGAACGATCAAAAAATAATATATAGGTTTTCAAGTACTATGGATGTGTTATATTTTCATTAAGTGGTTGCAGATAACTCTATTTTTCGAGTATTATGCTTATCGGTACACAATCGAGACGGATGCAACAATGCCGCGTGACTATACAGGCCTATGTGAATGTCTGTTGGAGCGTTCCGAAGCACTGCTGTGTGATTCCGATTGTTGAGGAGTGCTACAAAACAATTAGCTGGTCCTTGCGAAATTCGTCAGTAAAACGAAACAAACCAGAAGCGTGCAACATGCCTAGACATGAGCGACGTGGCATACTTTTCCGAGACACTTCGTCTCTCCCTCGATGATTGCTTCCAAACGACACTTGATCTCCGACGGTACTTAACACAACTCCTATTGATTACAAAAATAAGATATAGGAGTGTAGGTAGGCATATGGATGTCGATGTGAATGTGAGTGTTTGTGCAATGAAGACTGTCAGATATATCGTATAACTCAGATTCGGACGCACCCAAATTCACATGTACATCCTACATGCAACGTATATTTGAATAGTATTCTTCGAAGTGGACTATTAGTTGAACAAGTGACGCTTATCATTGTGACTCGGGTGTGGGTGCACATATGCGTGCAGATCTAGTTGAGTATGTCGGCGATGTTCTTATGATCAAATAATTCTTCTATACTATTTTTAGTAGTATCCCGAAAAACCTTGATCGAAAGCTAATGATTAAGTTTAGAATAAAAAAAAAGACAATACTATAGACAGCATTCATTACATCATAGAGAACAAAACTATTTTGAAAAGTTGATATTCTCAAGAATATTATGTACACAATATTCAGGTGATGAAGTAGATATTTTTTCATTTTTTGATAAAAGTTTCTTATATTTGCTTGTTAACGTTTTTTTTCTCAAGTTATTCAAAACTCTTTGTCGATTTAATTTTTTTGTGCGTTTCATTGCTGACGATATGGACAAAGATTTATCAGTAATATTTTGATAATTAATAAATGCATTTGATTTCAATGTTTGATTCGATATGTCTATCATCGATATATTTTTAATATTGTTTGATTGAGATACACTTGAAATAGCATTAAATAAATCTAACTGTTCTTGTTCATTATCATTTGATTCAATATATTTTATTTTTGAACATAAATATTTTAAAAATGTTGATCGAATCATGTCAAACATTGTACGATTACCTGAACATAATAATAAAGGTTCATTATCAAATGTTGAATGATAATGAAGAATAAATATAGTTCGTTTATCTATTATTATTGAATAAATATGTTTTATAATTTCATATGATGGTGCATTGATAATAAGAAATAAGTAATTAATATGTGCATTAAGATTGTTAAGTATAGTTAAATCTAATGTTTGTTTAATAATTGAATCAAAATAATCAATACAAATAAGATAATAAATATTATATGTATTTGGATGTTGATAATTTCTCAAATCATCAATATAGATTATAGAAGAATGAAAAATATTTGAGAGACAATTGAAAAGATAAGAAATAAATGATGAATTTGTATAAGTTTTTGATGTAATTATAATAACAGAAATTTGTTTTTCGAAAGTTTCTATTTGAGAATTCATAGTATCGTTCTGCAATTGATGATAATTATTATTTAATTGTGATAATGCATTGAAATTAGTTTCACTGGATAATTGATCTGTGCATGGAAAATGAGAATGTGTGCAATATGAACAATAATTATGTAAATGTAATTGAGTATTATGAGAACAGTTCGATGGATATTGACAATAAATATTTGATGTTTGAGAATAAGAATCCAATGTATAATCATTCGTTGGCTGTGACATTGAATTTTCACAAGCTATATCAATATCAAATTAAAATGGCTTACTAAATAAAAACACATTTACCTGTCACAAAAGAATTTGATGTGGGAATATAATTGTCATTGTGATTGGTTTTAAAAGAATAAGACGATGAATAATTGCGTGATTTAATAAGATGAGAGTTTTCATTCATATTAGCATAATCAGCTTGATTAACAGCATTTAAAAATTGATTTTTTATTTGAGGATAAGAATCATAATGAAGAGATAAATTTTTTGACATATATTCTCGATATTGTTGATATGGCAAAACATTAAAAGTCCAATTTGTTTGATCATGTTCAAAAAACTCAATAAGATAACACCATGATTGATCTTGTAAATAATTATGATAATTATAATCAGATACTGTATCAATCATATTATTCGATATGGATAAGATTCTTCCTGGCCAATACATACTATCGTGATTATGTCTTGCCCAAACAGTTTCACCAACATTGAATCCTTTAAAATAGAATTTTTATTTTTTTTCTTTCGAATCATTTAATAAAAGGGAAATAAAATATTTACCATCAGCAAATGTTGATAATGAATTAGAGGTCATTTTTTTAAATCTTTTTTTTTAACTAAGCTATCTTTTATTGCAGTTTCAAGTAAAATGTACGCATTTACTTTTTTTCTTATTTCTTTAAGGAAAATAGAGGAATGCAAATAATAGTTTTTTTTTTTATCTTAAATTAAACAAATGATTTTTACTTCAATAAACTAGAAATAAGCAGGTGTGTGTCCGACTAAGACAACTATCGCACAATGTCAATAGACACTTAAAGCAAAAGATCAACACATACTCATATCGTTTACTTATTCTTTCTTCCAGAAAAATGGTGATCACACGAGAGTTTCAATATATTCAATTAATCATTTGTATTAGATCTGTAATCATTTGCTTTTGATCGAGAGCAAACATGCTCGAGTATATTTTAAATTTTTACATTGATTTTTCTTAAGGAATTTATGTTTAAAAATTTTCAAAAACAAACGAAATAACAATTACTATTTATAAAAAGAAAAAAAAGCAAAAACGCAGTTTGTTTACTATATAGAAACAGATCAATCAAAAGATACAATGATAATATACTATTAATAAATTTAACACATATACACAAAATACACCCATTTATTTACTATAATTAGAATGAATTACTATTCAAAAAAAGAAAGAAAAAAAAATACTAAAAATTATTTGTCATTTAGAATATTTTGTACATAATATTCACATATGGGCGGAGGTATATGTGTTTTAATAGCACGACTCTGAAATAAATCATTTATTACTATTGATTGTTTTGATTTATTTTTTAATATATCTTCATTTGATTTATGAATTAATTCGAGTAAATTATTATCATTTGAAATTTTACTTATTGACAATTGAGGAAATAATTCATTAATAACTTGTTGATTATTTTTGAGAAAATTGGATTCAAATTTGTGATTTAATGTTTCTTGAATTTGTTCATTGATAAAATAATTAAGAATATTTGTTGATTGAATGATTGATGAAATACAATAAGCTGAATACAATTGTTCTTGTTCATTATCATTTGATTCAATATATTTTATTTTTGAACATAAATATTTTAAAAATGTTGATCGAATCATGTCAAACATTGTTCTATTACCTGAACATAATAATAAAGGTTCATTATCAAATGTTGAATGATAATGAAGAATAAATATAGTTCGTTTATCTATTATTATTGAATAAATATGTTTTATAATTTCATATGATGGTGCATTGATAATAAGAAATAAATAATTAATATGTGCATTAAGATTGTTAAGTATAGTCAAATCTAATGTTTGTTTAATAATTGAATCAAAATAATCAATACAAATAAGATAATAAATATTATATGTATTTGGATGTTGATAATTTCTTAAGTCATCAATATAAATTATAGAAGAATGAAAAACATTTGAGAAACCATTGAAAATATAAGAAATAAATGATGAATTTGCGTAAGTTTTTGATGTAATTATAATAACAGAAATTTGTTTTTGAAAATTATCTGATGTAGATATATTGTCAAGTTGCTGGTCATTTTCAGAACATAAAGGTGGTGTTATTGATTCAATTAATAAACCTTGCTCCTTATGCCAATCATTACTTGTAGTTAACATTTGATTAATATTACTATTGTCTGTTGTCAATGTATCTAATGATTGAATTGTGAAATTTAATGATGGTGTAGATGTTTGTTGATATGATGAATTATAATGTCCTAAAAATATGTTTTATTAAGAATAAAATATGGATGCTTAGTTTATGAACTTAGTATCGAATTTTGAACCTTTAACAGAGTTTGAAAGTTCAATAAAGTTGTGTTGACGTTATAGAATCAATTAGATCTGACTCTATGCATTAGTGGCTTTGGAGGAGAAGCTAGGAATAGTTGCCCTATATTCCACAAGGTTTTTCTCCGTTTTTTTCTCGCAATAACAGGTTGAAAATGAGCTGAAACTACCTCTAATGACTTTTAAAACACGTTTCATGATCATCAACGTTCTCTCCTAGTTCCAATCACTGCTGAACTACCGAATACATGCTAGAGTATCGTTTCAAAAATGTTTTGCATGCAATAGATCCAAATTTCGATACTCATAAAAAAATGCCCTCAGTTTTCGTCCTTGAAAAAATGTCTTTGAAGGATCGTCTCTCGCATGACAATATCTCTCATACGCAATTGCTGTTTGTTAAATACAATAGTATTGAAATGTAGATGTGAATGAGTGTAAGAGTGGCTGCGAGAGAACAGAATACTACGACACATGCTCATCCTTACATGTGCATCCTCACCCACACCATGCACACCCTTTTCAAATAAGTAGTAGAATGCGATCTTGTACAAAACGATCCAAGTTCAGAATTATTGAACAGCGAACTAGAGAATTATATGATCGGCTCAACAATAACCAAACTACTGCACAAGATTTATTCCATGGAATTTTTTTCTCTTCGCTGCGAATGAAAAATAAAATAAAACTACATGATTAACATTATCACAGAACGTTATTTATATATTATTGAAAGAACATTTGATAATAGAGGACATTTTTTTTTAAAGACCTCACCATTGCAAACCATTTCTCAAAAAATATTTTTTCAAGGACATTTTCCAAATGACATTGTAAACTATTACTGAATTGGTCCCCATTATACAAATTCAAGATTCACTACTGATCCTATGAATTAGAAGAATCACTAGGAATACTTTTATAGTTATCAAAAAAAAGAAAATATTTCTTAGTATAAATATTTGTTATAAGTAAAATTACAATTCTAATGTTAACTGCATAGTCATCAATCAAAACTGACATTTCAACTTTTCGTTGGCAAAATTAGAATTAGACTACAGATAAAGTCATACAATCGAAATCGAATGAATAGATTTTTGTAGTACATGATCTAAAAGAAGTTTTAAAGTATATCTGGTAGGATTAGCATGCTTCTTCACAAATCTGTTAAAAAATATAGTCAACGACCATTACAGACATGACAGATATTATTGATATACGACCACCAACCGTATATCAATAATGGTTCATTACAATATACTAACTACTTATCGCATTTATGAAAGATTAAGTCAAAGGCAGATGAAGAAATGTGTCTTAAAATATATAGAATTAGACAATCTACCCGCAATCCGCAAAAACAATGATATTGTGTTTTATATTTTAATCCCACAGGAATTATACTAACAACATTCTTATTCATGAATATCTTTTCACTTAATTAAACAATGTACACGACAGAATATTCTAATCTATTCATTCATATTTGTACAACTACATCGATTTGAACAACATTTTTTTCGCATAAAAAATTCCTCTCTGTTTTTGCATAAACATTATTTAGTAGAGCATTAGCCTTCATAATCGCATGTGCGACAAGTTGCTGAATTCAATTCAGACGTTTTTTCTTATTACATTGTAATAGATACGTGTATATTGATACAGCTTATCAACACGATCAATACAAAAAAAAGTTTTCTTTCAAATTTCAAATCTTTGTGTATACGTGTTTTTTAATATTTTCCATTTCGTTTAAATCATTATGAAATAATACATGATGACGATACTTGTTTGTTATTACCCCGTCAAAACTTTTTAATTTTTAAAAAATTCTTATTCTCCGACGGAACAAGATCATAACATACAAAAACAGAATAATAATATTATAAAGGGTATGATAGAATTGATAATCAGATAAAAAGCTAAAACATAACATAATATTCAAAAATTAAAAAATTTTGGTGGGACGATAACAAACAAATACCCATGATTACTTTTTTGAAAGAACTTTTGAAAATACGTAACATTAAATGTAAAGAATCTTAAGTATTCGAAATCTTGTTTTTTTGTTTACCTATATTTGACGTAAACATTGGACTTGATGTCAAGAGAAAATTGTTATCGGTATTATCTTCAATGGTAGATAAAAAATTTTGTTGTGGTTGTTGTTGTTGTTGTGAGATCATGGTGGTCATTGAATTTAAATGATTACTATTCATATATACATCATGACTGCAACCATAATCAGCTTGATTAATAGCATTTAAAAAATCTTGTTTTATTGTTGGATGAAGACCATAATGAATAAATGAATCATTTGTCATAGAATCTCGATATTGACGATAATTTAATATATCTGTTGTCCAAATAGATTGTTTCGTAATAAAAAATTCAATATGATAAGTATATCGTTGTTGAGCATTATCAAGTAATTCTGATACCCAAAAATCATTTGTAGTATTTGATATCATCGTAATTTTTCCAGGCCAATAAATATTATCTTTATTACATCTAGCCCAAACAATTTGACCTACCATAAAATCCATAAAGAAAAGTACTCGATAAACAATATTCTAGAAAAAAAATTGTCATTCAAAAATTTTTATTTAAATTAAAAATAATCAATCTTTTTTTTTCTCAGTTTAAATATGTTTCCTTTTTTCAACATAGTAAAAAAAAAATCAAAAAACAAAAAAACAAAATTTCAAATCCATCCAGAATAAAATAAAGCACAAATTAATGATCAGGAGTATTTATATGTTTTAAAATATAACCACATACACTCGTATGCAAAATGATTGTCTCACATATATTTAATTATCACAAAAAAAAAAGAAAAGAACAATATATATATACTTTTTGTCATTAACAATCCGAAAAAGAAATTTTTAATTGCACCAAAATGAAAACAATAAATACTACTAAGTATCATAATCGGGCAGTTATCATTTCTTCTTCTTCTTCTGTTTTTACAACAACAAAAAATAATATTCACATAGGTTTATCTGATGCATGATCGTTTTTCAAATGCATTAAATAATCATTATGTGAATGAAACATTCGATGACAAAATTGACATTCAACTTTATTTAAATGATCAGCAGCTACTTTAGCTAACCGTCGTTGTCGTTCATCAGCAGATACATTAGATCGTATAGAATTATTTCCACATGATACACATTCAAATAAAAGGCCTTGTTGTTTTGGAAATTCATGATGTGTTATATCAACTAATTGTGTATAACCACAACGTGTACATGTAGGTTTTGTTGATGTTTGTTTTTGATTTAGATTTGGTCGATGCAGTTGTTTGGAAATTTTTAATGATGGTTTTAAAGATCTATTATTAATTGAATTTGATTGATGATTCGGTTTTTTCAATAATTTTTGTGTTTGATGATGTTGTTGTTGCTTATTTAATGTCTCAATATCATGATTATCAGTATTGTTATTATTATTATTATTCATTTGATTGATTGTATTTGACTTGGTATCCATGATTTTTGACATTTGTGTCTAAACATAGATGCAACTCAATATGATTAAATTTATCGATTCAATCTTTATCATTATTATAGTCTTCCAATGAAATTAGTAGAGATAAAGCCATCTGTAAGAATGATAGGATTCTTTTACTTAACCTTAATAAGAGAGATGTCGCATGATTCTATCGATATGAAAAGAATGTGTTTTTCAGTTATGAGTGTTGAAATTATCAACAAATTTTGAAATTTAAGAAATATTCATCAAGTCTAGAACTATGTAATAAATAAACTTCCATACTAATAGCGTTAACATTAAGAAATAAAAATAAAAAGTTAACATTACTGATCAATGATTAATTGTTTGAAAATTTCAAAAATACTTCACTTCTGTTTCATCATGAACAGCGCAAAGAAAAACAATACTTTCGATCATTATTAGGTTTTGTTTTGATTGAAATAAATACAGTTCAATCCATGAAAATTAAAATTTTAAATGAAAATCTTGCTAGATAACATGTTATTTTCTAGTATAGATAAAATATCATGAAACTGATATATCATTCGTTTTATTTAGATTGATGAATCTATCAAATTGAGTTAAAAATTATTTTGTTGGATTTTTGTGTTTTAATAGATAAAATGAATAAATGTCCTTGAAGATATTGAATTTTTTAAAGTCATCTTTTTGAAGAAAAAGTTACGAAAATTTTAGATTTGGTGTAAATTCAATATCTTCAAAAGATATATGTATATTATTCAAAATTTTCAGTGTTGTAATAATCCATTTCAGATTTGTTCGTGAACTAAATTTCAATTTATAATTTATTGATTTAATTATGAAAAATAATTAGTACGACACAACTAAAATTTCAGTTCAACGATTGTAACTCAATATGAGAAACTTATCTAATTACTTTCTATTAGGAATATTTGAGTTTCATGATCTTCTATTTATGTTCAAAATTGAGCCAAATATTTCTAGAAGTCACGTCTTGCATTAAAATTCCATTGAAAATATCTTATCATGTTTTTTCTCATTATTATTATACAATAATAATATATATATATAAGCCTGACAATGTGGTGTCCTCAACTGTCGGATGCTGTTCAATCTGATATGATGACTAAGAAAAGTCTCTGAGGGTTCGGACTTATTGTCTACTGTTGAAGAATTATTGTTATTTTACTGAATTTTTCAGTTAGAGTAAAAGCATTTTCAAATGTATAGAAATGCAAAATTGCATTCTGAAAAATTGCCTTAAGATATAACTAATAATTATTTATCAGTTTTGAAGGTTTCAAAGAAAATAAATGTGCTGTTCTCTTGCTTATCACAGATGGATACAACAGTCAAATCCACTTGAAAGTTGAGTACCTTGAAAACAACATATTTGTTTTATTTATGATATTTCGTATTTTTTTTAATGATTATTAGTTTTATCCTAAGGTAAGATTTCAAAATAAAATTCTTCATTTTGATATTTTCATAAATTCTGTACTTCAACAAAATATTTCAATGAATTAGCCATAATTTGTCACCAATATACCATATGTCCAAATACTTTTAGCATTTAAATCTACTTGTAGCCATAATATCAAATAGAACGGCATCCGATAGTTGTCAGTTTTCTTTTCCAAGTCGGCAAAATGCCATCTTGTATACTAATGTGAAATGTATGATATCATGAATATCTCAGTTATCCTCTGAAATTAATATCTTATAAATTTACCTACCAAACTATTTTGAGCTTCGAACCGAATTTCTGTATAAGTGTATCATTAAGTTGATTTCAAAAAACATCATAAAACTATCTTTGTATCACTAGTAATATCCAATATATATATAACAGATGCCCAATAATAAATAGTCTATAGTTACTTTCTCTCTATCTGTAAGACATTTCATAATTGTTTTAGATTCCAATGCTAATCTCACTGAAAAGATATGTCAATTTTTTGGCTTTTGTACCAATTACAGGTATTAATTTAGTTTTAGTTTATTTGGACAAATATAAATACAATTTTTATTTTTACAAAACAAATACAATGAAAATCTTTATATTTATAAAATAGAAACAAATGAATTCTTTATTTTCAAAAATAAAGATAAAATAAAGAATAGAAAAAGGTTTCTCTCGGTTGTAGGTAAATAGACAAGTATGTAGTATAAAAACACGATACGTTAGTCAAATATTCTTTCTTATCACCAGCATCACATCAGCAGGTGATATTGCTAAAAATATGAAGTCAATATATAAAAAAATATATTCAAAAAGTTTTCTTTAAATCTTATTTATGTATATGATATCATAAATTTTTGTGAACTACTTGGTAAAAATTAAAAATTAAGTTTCCATAGAAAAAAATTTATTATTTATTTTATCTTTACTGTTGAAAATAAAGAATTCATTTATCTTTATCCTCAATTTATAAACATAAAAGTTTTATTTATATTGATTCTTCTATTATAAAAGTGCTATAAAAATAAAATGAACACTCCTAGAATCGATACGATTCAATAAGTATTAAGTATCTCAACATGATTTTGATGCTAAAAATCACTATGAAAGACACAAAACAATAGTTTTGAGAAGAATTAAAGATACTATCCGGTGAGATTAGAATAAGAATTTTCAACAATTGTAAAATATCTCAAAGGTTAAAAGCATCATATACTATGAGACATCCGCTTATTTTGATTGCCGAAATTTTCAGTTTTCATCCACACTATAGAACAAGAAAAAAAACAATATTTTATTGAAACGATGTAAAAATACAAAGCTGATTGAAGTTTAAAAAAAATAATGAAACTCATTCTTTCTTCTTAGTTAAAGGAAATCATTGCTGAATAGGTTAAATCAATGTGTTTTTATTAACATGAAGATTGTAACATTCTTACTTGTGATTGTAGTTGCGACTCAAAATATTCATCAACTTGTGAATAATACTGTTGCTGTTGTAAATGATTACTTTGAAAATCAGGTGGTGTTAATACTGATGATGTTACTTGATTTTCTTGCGATATTGATAAACAAGATGGTGTATATGATTGAAAAAAATTTTCATAAACATCATCGGCATTGATTACCGATGCTGCTGATATACTTAATGATTTATCTATTGATGTTGGAGTTAGTATTTCACTAATAATTCCTGTTGATGCTGATTGTAATGGAGGTGGTGGTGTTGATGAATTAAAATGTTCATGTGCTTGCGCTAAAAATTCATCATCTATCTCAATATCATGATGATTTTTTGTGTATGGCATTTGTCGTTGTTCATCATGAGAACCATAATAATCATTTAAAGCATCGTTATTCTCTATATTTAATGTTTGCCATGAATTATTTGTTAAATTGTGATTTAAATTTTCGTTGGATGCAATAGATGTCGTTGCTGTTGTTGTTGTTGTTGTTACACGTCCTGGTGACGATGATGTCGTGGATGCATTCGACCATGAAATTAGTGTATTAACTAAGTTTGGTTGTGAAGTAATAGGTGGTGTTGTCGGTGTTGTTCGCTGCATATCTTGAGAAGACGATGACGCTGCTGTCGGATGTGGCATATTAATATTAGATGCACTCGGACGTTTTGATTTTATAGAACTCGTCGATTTTGATCGGTCTCTTTTTTTACTATTATCTGTTCCTGTTTTTTGTTGTAATAATTTATTTATGTTACTTTGTCCTGTCGAAGGTGAATGGGTTTTTGATGGTGTAATATTAAGAACATTTGGACGATTTAATGTCAAAGTATTTGATTCATAAGTTAATTTTTGTTGTTGCTGTTGTTGTTCTTGATTCAATTGTGGTTGTGTTGCTTTTGTTGTTACTGGTACAGTGCTTTCCCAAACGAGTTGAGCTGATAATGGTTGTTTTTTTTGCTGCTGTTTTACACTAGGTGATATTGATTTATTATTAAGGGAAATTTTTCCTTTGCCATTAATAACATCCGATATAGTTTGATCGATTTCTGGTGAACCGATTCTTGTTTTCATTAAATTTTGTGACGTAGAAATATCAAGTTTCACCGGTGATCTTATATTTGATTGTGTTGAATATACATCTTGTTCGTTTTCTTCTTCAATATTTCTATTGATATCATTCGTTGAGTCATGTAAAGTATTATCTGCTGATACAGTTGTGATAGTCTTTAAAAACAAAAAAAAAATGAATATATATATATACCAAATTTCAAAAAATAATAAGATATAATTAATAAATATAAAAATTTACTTGTGGATTATCTGGAAAAATAAATATATCTTGTTGTTTTTCAGAAGGACATGATAAAATTCTATGATTATTATTTGGCTGTGTTGATGAGGTATTTAAATTATTAGCACTTTGACTTTGTTGATGTAAATCATCTAAAATAAACATTTTTTAAAATAAACTTAAATCATATCACTAATACTGACAGTAGCATTATAATATCTTACGGAAAGTTCAAGGAGATTCTTTTGAAATATATATAATGATAGTCAAGCAATTCTCTATAATATTTTATTATTCTTCAGTTGTTATGACAATAGTAGAATTCGGATCGATGAGGAAAACTTTTTGTTTCTACATTTAAAGAATTTGTACTAGAGTATATTGTATTTTTAATAATCAGGTTATACCTTTTAGAATGATATAAATTATTTCGTGGACAGTATGAAGAGAAAGTCTGATCCAAAGAGTCTATAATCGAATAACATTGGAACATATCGAACAAATCTATTACCTCACAAATAATGATCCTTCTATAATAATTGACGAGCTGCAATTGAAAACTTATCTCAACCATGGCATCATTCAATGAATAATCTTTGATCATCGTAAGCTTAAAAACATTACGATTCATTGTATATCAAGACAATGAACCTTGACGAGTGATAATTGAAGATACTGTTTGAACTAGAGGCCTTGTAGATCGTTTTCTTTTGTCTTTAGTCTTTTTTTTTACCTTCATGAAACCATTGACATCATCCTTCACAGGAGCATAACTTATCACTGAACGAAGGAGAATTTTAGAGGAAGTACAACATAAACAAGTGTCAAACCCAGAAGAAGATTACTCTCCATGCGCCTCTCCTCCTCACATTCCCTATTAATTACGTCCCCTGAGATTTCAACTACTCTTAAAGGTGAAGCTTGATGATCAAAACTAAAATTTAGTGTAGTACAGATTTATTAAGTGCAGAAATCAATGTTGTCTTTATTCATTTGAATCAAAAATAAATATTTATGATCAAAATTCTAATATACTCATAACTACTAAAGAATAATAAAATATAATAGAATTATACCGAACTGTTCGAACTATTAGTGTATATATAGAGAGATAATGTCCTCAAGATATTCTAGCACTATTATCACTCTTTAAGTATTAAAAAAAATTCATGCTATACTTTGATTCTGATGTGATAATTGATCTTGATTTATTAAACTATTTTTATTTATCGGATGTTGTTTTTGTTGAAGTGAATTATTAGGATTAATATTTTGTTGTCCTTCAAATGGCATTGATATTGATGAAGGTGTTTGATAACTAAATAGAAAAATAAAATAAGACTAATGAATTAAATTATTTTTTGCTTTCGAGAAAATTTACTTTGATGAATTATTCATCATAATTTGAGAAAAATTTGATGTTTGTTGTTGAAAATTATTATCAGTATTCAATGAAGGCATTTGTATTGGTGGTAATGATGACTTTTTAGAAATTATTTTTGCTACATTTGATGATGGACCAGTTGTTTTCATATGATCCGAATTTGGAAATGGTAACGATGGTGCTTGTATTGGTTCTATCGTAGAAAGTGTTGAAATGGTCTCATTCGAATGTATTTGTGAAGAAAATGTAGTTCGATGAGCAATCATTTGATCATTTAATGGCCGATATATAGTTTCATTTGTCAAAATTGTATTTGATGATTGTTTATTAAAATTAACAACAGGACAATTATGATTATGACCGTTGGGTGGATTTGAACAAACACAAATAATACGTTTTGTATTTGAATTTGTTAACATTGATGATGGGCAAGACATAGTTGATGTTTGCTGTAAATCAGCGTGGGTTGTCAATGAAGACGACTGTTTCATTGATGATATTGGGCTTAATAGAAAAAAAAAGAGTATAAAACTGATTGTAACTTTTGATAAAAAATGTGTCAAGGATTAACGATGAAACAAGGACAAATATAAATCATTTTAGATAAAAAAATACTATGTTTGACTTAAGCTATTTCTGTATGCCTCAGTGATTTACGAAAAAGAATGAAAAAAGATTTTATCAATAATCTACTAAAGTGTTAAAAAAAAGACATATTCATAAATACTTTAGGTTTGTCATTTGCATATTTAATTGAGAATCATTCATATTAGATGGTGCTGCATGCATAGCATGTTGATGCAATGAATATCGTTGATTTGTCGTATTTTGATAGCGACAATTAGGTATTAGTTGAGATTGTGATTGGTTTCCAATTGATTGAATTGTTGTAGAAGATGGTAATGTTTGTGATTGTATACTATTATATGCTTCTGTTGTTGTAGTGGATGAAACATCATTCTGATCACTAGTAGGTACTATTGTTGCATTTGATAAATTAAGATAATTTATCGGTGGTGAATGATGTTGAGAATAATGGTATTGTTGTTGTTGTTGTTGTTGTTGTTGTTGTTGTTGTTGTTGTTGTTGTTGTTGCGGTTGCGGGTGTAATGGTGGTTGTGGTTGTTGATATATTGGATCAAAATTATCTTGTCGTTGATGATGATAATAATGATAATGATTAACGGGATTACTACATTTAGGTGATAATAGTTGATTTTGTTGCATACATGTTGTTGGTGGTACTAAATATAAAAAATGAAAGAAAAAGAAAAAGAAAATGAAGACAGAGAAAAACGAATTTATATTCTATTACTTTTATTTGTAATATACATCACAAGATTAGGATTATCACCACATTTTTCTGGCCATTCAACACTTAATCGTATTGTAACAAGATTATGATCAATAACTGAATTTTGACAAGCTTTTAATGGAATTTTATAAGATTCGATTGGTTCACTATAACGAATATTATTCAAAGAATAAATTATATGAATAGAAAAAAATCAAAAAAAAACAAAATTTCTTACCAGCTAATCATTATAATATAATTGAAAATAATACACAATAATAACAGTTGATTGACAAAAACATAAAAAAGTTAAGAATTGATATAATGTGCAATACCTAGGTAAATATTATGGTTACTTTAGTGGTGAATTTTTATTACACGAATGAGTAAACAAGCTTATTTTTCCTTTGTTTTTCCTTTCTTTTCTTATTTCTTTTTCATTTTTTTTGTTTCTTGTCTGCCTCTACGTCTATTCGTAGGCGAAGTATTTACACATGCTGAAATTTTTTGCTTTACCTGGTTTCCTTTTTTTTTCGATTACTTGTTAAGCGTCGCTACTGGGTGACGAAAACGTACATATATATCATCTAGAACAGAATAGAGAAAAATGATGAGAGTTAGAAATACAGCCATGATATGATCGTAAAATTAATTGAGAGAGTTAAAGATAGATAGTAGATATAACACTTCATTTTCGCAATAAAAATATGCAACTAATTATTTATACATAATATATGTTACCATATATATATATATATATATATATATGCATAATTAACGAAAATTATCCATGGTAGAAAATCGAAAACAGCAAGAAAATATTGAAATAAAATAATTAATATTCTGAATAAGGATCAAAATCTTGTCGTTGTTGAATTGCAATCATATTGTCAGGCAATGTTGACGTACAAAGATTAACTAAGGTTGTTATTTTTTCTGCATTTGGATGACGTAATTGTGCCTATTGAGAGAAACAAAAAGAGATTTAATTTAATTGAGAAAAGTGTTTTTTTTAGTTTAAATCAACGAACGGTTAGTTTAAGTTTCTTCATATTTAAATCAAATTCTGACATAATATCAACATTAATAACATCAAATGGTTTTAAAATTTGTTTTATTGTTTGTGGTGGATCATTTTCTTTCCAATAAATTGTTAATTCAGCTGTTTGATTATTTGACATTTTTTTATAATCAGTACGTGGATGATCCAATGGTAAATTCTATAAGACAAATAAAAACTTCTTTCTTTTATTGTTTTTCAATATATATGAACTAAACAATAAATAAGAAAGAAAAAATACGTACATTAATTCCAACACGTAATGGTACACCAATACGAAATAAATAAATATCGAGACTTTCATCTTTGACTCCAACAATGACTGCTTCATCTGATATTGTACCATATTCCTTAAAAATGAAGTGTATACATTCAATAAACAATTCACTACACAAATCTTTCAAGTGTTTAAGTACTTTTTAATGTGATTTTTCAAAATTTTTTAAATACGAAATTAAATAAAGAAGTACGCTGCAGTAAAAATTCGAAATGAATTTTTCGAGTAAGAAACTATACAAACGCATGGCTATGCATCGAAAATATTCTTTTCAAGTGTTTATTTACTTAAAAATGTGAATTTAATATATATATATTGTAAAAAAAATCTAATTATCATAAAGAAAATCCAACAGAATGACATTAATTCCGATATTTTTTTTTTATTGAGAAAAAAATTTTTCAATATTTATTATTCATAGTGGATTATGATAAGACTTGCAATCAACATTTTAATCTAATACCTCGAATAACCACTTCTGAGTATCATCAAATCAATGACTAATGCACATATATTTAAATACGATTAAAGTCGAAATTATCTATAGAATATAGTGTTCTTCTACGTAAACTAATCAATAAGAATTCTTGAATTTAGTTTCTGGTTTCATATTAACCTTGACACTACTATTTGAGCATAACATGATATGTTGGGCGAAAACAAAGTATTATGACTTTTACATGCATTTATAAATCTATCGAATTACCTTTCTTTTATAAAAAAAAAAAAAAAAAAACTTTTGTACTTATCAAAATTGTCTACTAACCTTAATCTCATTTACGATACTCAAAAAAATAAAAATAAATTCTTTCAGACAGACAATTATTGACTTTAATACCTCGTCTGTCTACAATTGATAAATATTTTGTAACCAAGATAGGATAAATAATGGATATCATTTGCAATATAAAAGCCATTTAGTCGATATTTATATTACATTGGCACATAAGTTCTGCACGTTTTTTTTGTGTTTTAGCAAATTTGAGGCTTTATATCCCATGATTAGAAAATGATAGAAACCTGAAATTTCTAGTACAGATAGGTCTGTATGACTTCTATCAACGTTAAAAATTTCAGACCTCTATCACTTTCTAATCACGAGATATAGAGCCTTGAATTTGCCTAAATCACAAAAAAAACCGTGCATAACTTATGTGCCAATACAATACTTCAGTAGTGTTGACTTAGACAATGTAGTTTGAAAATGGAAAATATGTTAATATAGGAGAACATATTTTTAAATTAGTGTCTGAAAATGAATGACGAAAGGAAGTTCTCAATTTTTTCGTTACTTTGTAGTATAGAGACGGTGTAGTGGCAGATTCCGTAGGCTCATATCTTCTCTATAATTAATACTAATAGTCACTGTCAACAAAAGAACAAACTGAGAACGAGTTCTCGAAGTTCAATACTTACGCACTTTATAAAAATTAACGAATCATAAAGAGCGTATGTGTGTCACTGCGTAGGCAGTATGTTGTAAACTGACTGATCCGAAACAAACAACAGCTAGTGGTTTGTTCCGAGTCACTTGTTGATTAGTGCTACTAATGTTCGAATACAATACAAAGACTATGTGTCGAATGACGTAGTCACTTAGTTATAGCAACCTTTTAAATATGAACAATTAAAAAAAACAGAAGAAAGTTCTAAATGCAAGGTTAAGAATATTGTAAATACTCTTAATAACATTGACTAACATGTCATTTTGTATCACAAGGTATATTGAATGGTACGCTTCACTAAACATCGTACTCAGGATAAAATAAAGAACAAAATACTTACTCGAATAAGCACAGCAAGATAAAGTTCTGCACTACGTTCTGAACATGTTTTAGCACTTAATTTTTTTTCATTACATAATTGTGCTATTTGTTCAAGTGCTCTTGGTGCTTGATAAAGATTATCATTATAATCTAAATACAAAACAAAACAAAAAAAGTAATACTGTGCAAAATTTATATATAATTTCATTTACTAAGTACAGCACCAAGTAATCTATGAACAAGTATATCTGGATATCGTCGAATAGGTGATGTAAAATGTGTATAAAAATCAACATTAAGTGCAAAATGTGAATAATTATTATCTGGTACACATGATGCACAACAATAAACAGCTAATTGCATAGATTTTGCAAGTAAATGTATAAGTAATTTTTTTGTTGATTCATTTTCAATATTTCGAATAGCTTTAGCAATATCATCTGATGAATTTCCTTCAATGTCAATACCAACAGATTTTAATATTTTAATTGCATTTTGTAATGCTGTTGAATTTGGTGGTGGATGACGACGTAATATAACTTTATCATGAATAGATTCTGTTGAAAATAATTTACGTGCTACTTGCATATTTGCTAAAAGCATGTATTCTTCAACTAATCGATGACTTTCTTTTTGTTGATAAATTGAAAAACTTAATGGCATTTTACTATCAGGTTTTATTTGATATTGAAGTTTTGGTTGATTTAATGTTAATGCACCACTACGTTTTGAACGTAAAATTTTTGATATTTCATATAAATATAATACAATTTCTTTGATATCATTAACAGAATAATTATTTGTTATTGTAGGAAAATCTTCCGTTTTAAATTCTTTATTTGGATGATCAATAATATCCTAGTTGATTATAGACAAAAGAAAAATAAAGTAACTTAATATTAAATGAACAAATATTATCATTTTATACCTGAGCATGTTCATAACTTAATTTAACACACGATCGAATAACACTACGTGCAAATTGTTCTTCAAGAATCTAATGAGAAAATTTTAAATAATAAAAAAAAAACACATCAAGAAAAATCATGAAGAATCTCTTACATTGCCTTTTTCATCCATTATCCATATCACAGAATATGTTAGACGATCTTCATTAGGATTTAAACTACATAATCGATCACATAATAATCGAGGTAACATTGGAATAACCTATAAAAACAATCAAATAATGTTTTTAATAGAATACTTTAAACCCCAATATGTTTTTTTTTCTTACTCGTTCGACAAGATAAACACTCGTCGTACGCTGTGCAGCTTCATTATCAAGTGGTGTTTGTTCTTGAACAAAATAACTTACATCAGCAATATGAACACCGATTCGATAATGTCCTATAACAAAAATATTTTTATTTGTTATATCAATGACAAGCAGAGATATTTATAGCAGCAAATTTTGTTGTTATTTTTATAAATTTTTAAACAACAATTGTAATACGAGAACTTTTCTTTTCTATCATGATGACCTGGATGGCCAATAGACATCTCTAATGAAAAAAAAAAAAGTTTAAATACCATTTTCAAGTCGTTCACAACTAAGTGCATCATCAAGATCTCGTGCTGTTGCTGGATCAATAGTAAAAATACATTTATTTCGAAGATCTAATCGTTTAGAAAATTCTTCATCAGGTATATTCCAATTATCCTGCTCTAATGGTAAACATTTAATAATCTAAGTATGCAAAAATATAAAAACAAAACAAGAATTATATTTCCTTTTTTACTTCATCATTAAATTCTTCATCTCGAATATCATTTTCCATTAAAATAGCTTTACTTTGAGCTTCAAGTGTATCAGCATCACCAAGACTTTCCATTAATTCTCTAAAAGATAATCATAATAATAATCGAATTTTCTATTTTACATACCCGCGTGCAAATTTTTTATCAGGTGGTATTTCAACAATTTTTGCAACAAATAAAGATTTTTCATAATCATTTGGACGATCTTTAAAATCTAAATATAAATAAAATTAATAAATCTGATTCAAAGTCTATCACGTTCTTATGTACCTAATGGACAATTATTCATTGGAATCATTAAACGAGGAATGCGACTAAATAAACAAAGTATATTTATATTACAAATAGAATATCTCGGATCAATAGAAAATCTGTCTATAAGATC